CTAACTAGAGCTTAGAAAAGGAGGTCATTTAGTGTGTGATACAGATTTAATTTGCTGGTGAGCGCAGGTGAAGGGCTACCAAAGGAAGCTGGGGGAAGAAGAGAAGAATTAGTGCAACTTTCTCACCACGGTAGGAGAACCAGGGAAACTTCCCATCCCCAGCTGCCCCTCTTGACTTTTCCTCACCCAACACACCTTATGCTAGGCTGCTTCTGGCTACTATTGTAGCTACTCTGCTAAAATACTGCCAAACGCTGGCAGCAGCACCACTGTGGATGTCAGGAAGTTCCCTGCTAATCAGTGCAGGGCCCTGCTGGGAAGGGGGTTTCTTGGCTGTCCAATACTGAATTTCTGAGGGAATGTTCAGGCAGGAGCTCTGAACCAAGGTTTCACAGCAAAATGCAAATGTACCTGCGAAAATTGTGTTGCTCTCCTCTTAAAGAACTAGGAGTCATGGAGATATTTGGGGGGCTGGTGTGAAGCTCTTATAAAGTCCCATAAGCAAATCAGCTTCTCTGAAGTGTTAATCTTGTAGTTGAGTCTGCTCTATTCAGCCTCATGGATTTGGGTGATACTTCTCTTGTCCCGGGCTTGATTTCTCAGTCTGTCAATGAAATCCTCCCGTTCTGGGGCTGCATCTCTCCCGAGTGCAGCCCGGAGAAGCTCAGGGCCACGTTTGCAGTGAGCTGATGCCCTCTGCTGGGTATCAAGAACTTGGAAAATGTAAAATCCCCTCTTTCAGAGCGGGATTTTGAACACAACTCCTGCAAAGAGTGAACTGCATAGTTTAATTGCAACCGTTCACACCTCCCCACAATGATTTTTAATATGTGTTTGGAGGACAGCTTAGATTTGGAATCTAGTTTCAGTGACTGAATAACAGAAATAGTTCTGGTTATGGCTTCCACATTGCTGAATATTAGATCCAACTTGTAACTAAAGATCTTCAAATATAATAATTTTAATAAACTGTTCCTCTACTAATAATATGATTTAAAAGCATGTATAACTTGGAGAGAAGTGTTTCGCCTGTTTAAATAAGTTGTCATTAGTATGATATTACCTGGTTAGAAATCAGTATAAATGTGAATAAAACTTTCAGAATGTTTGCTAAACTTAAAAATATTGGGGAAAAATATTTGGATCGTGAGGGACAAGCTACTACATGTCAGTACATCCCATATTCCACTGCGAGTTCAGTTGAAAAATGCCGAAACTGCATTTATTGAGACATAAATATGACAAAAAAATGTAACTCTAACCTTAGGGGAAAACAAATTAAAACTGGAAATTGTTTATGCTTTTTCGTGAGACTGAGAACTCCAAGGCCTTAGTGCTGATCCCAGCAAGCTGGAATGTTTCTGTCACTTAAGAAGTGACAGAACACCTCTGTGTAGTATTGTCACTATGGGGTTTCAGTGAGAGCTTTTGTGCAGTTGTCTGTTGGCCCATTGTGGCTAATATGGGTAATGCCTACAAGAAAAGGCTAAAAAGAACATTAAAACAGGTCTAAAATAAGTAAAAAATTATTTAGTCACCTTAATAGTTTTCTTATTTTCTCATAGAAGCTTTAATTCTGGATTTATAAAATCATATTTTTTTTGTGTAGGTCTGTCCACTTTTTGCTGTTTCTTATGTCTTGAATAGTCAGCCAAAAGATTAAAAAGTTAGGAGCTGTCTTATGTTAGTTAGTAAACTTATGATTTTAATTAATTAAAAGACAAAGCACAGATTTGGTTAAGGTTATAATGTGTCTCCCAAAGATAAATGCCTTTTTGTAGCATAATGCTGAAAATGTTAATATAAACTCTCTCTGAGTTAATTACCTGGCTGTACTATATTGTTGAGTATTAAACAAAAATAATCCCAGGGGTTATTTAATTGGTTTTAAACTTTCAGCTCCACAAAAGGGCACATCCTGTCTTGGGTATGACCACAGGGTTGTGTGGTAGCGCAAGATCCACAGAAGAACCCTCACTGACTTTAGAAGATGTAAATTTGGCTATTTTCTAAACTTGATGTGAAATTTGCTCTGTGTGAGAAAGAAACCAAAACAATCCTTAACACTGAACTCACAAGACCACAATTCTGGAGCTTCTGTTCAATAAACTCAAATTGACCCACGGGATATGTATTATTCACAAACCAGAGACTTTTCACTGTCATTGATTTTTGCCTTTTAAATATGTAAACTTTGTCTAGGCAACAATTTTTGCAGTCAATACCAAAAGGAAAGTTTTAACACGGCCACTGAGGTGTACCTGCAGTTGGCTTTTCTCTTCACTGCATGCAGAGTTTAAAGTGGTCATGAGACCTGAATTATTGGATGGCATGGAAAGCAGTCGTTTAACAGGCTTAGTTGTAGAGTAATTCTGAAAGATGGGGAAGTACACCTGCTACTGGGAGCCATGTGCAATCACTTTAGATGATGATAATGATAGCTTGTGTGGTGTTTATAAAAATACAGAGAGAAAACCTGAAGAAATTCACAGCTGTAAGCATTTTAAAATCTAGCATGATGGCAAAGCTTGACTTGCAAGGATGTCTTTTAACAGAAAAATAGATGAGGGGCACATGGAACTGTATAAAACCACACTATTGAACTTAATAACACACTACAGCCTAGGCATGATAAAGAAATGCAGCTAAATGGAAATGCCCTAAATATGTTAAGAAGGTAAGTGAACAGCCCAAACCAAAAAGTTGGGCTTTTTACTCGGAAAAAAAAAACCCTATGTGTCCTGTAGCCACTATAATAATCAACAGTACCCAGTGCTTGACCCAGGTTTTTAGTCAGACAACAGTCTTATGCATTTTGTTAGGAAACAAGCTGAGTGATTTATTTGGGAAAATATTCATTGCTATTGCACCTGTAAAACGAGAGACTGGATATACCAACTTTGCAGAGACTCAGTGGAGTTGGAGAAACATAGTTCTAATAATGGGATCACAGAATCACAGAACATGCTGAGTTGGAAGGGACCCACAAGGATCATCAAGTCCCATTCTTGGCCCTGCACAGCACCATCCTCAAGAGTCTGAGAGTGTTGTCCAAACACTTCTTGAACTCTGTCAGCCTTGGTGCTGTGACCACTGCCCTGGGGAGCCTGTTCAGTGCCCAACCACCCTCTGGGGGAAGAACCCTTTTCTAATATCCAACCTAAACTTCCCCTAATGCTCTAGGCAACTTAAGTTACTGGTAATTCCTGAATCCAAAATCTAGATGTGGACTTTAAGTGTTAAGTTACATTCATCACATACTTGGAAAGCTGTTAAGTTCATTAAGAATGGGTGCTGCTGACTCTGGTCTAATTAAAAATAATAATAAATACACATAAGTGACAAGACTGGACCAGTTTTTACCCTCCCACATTCAGGGAGGTTATTTATTTATACTTTCACCTATTTCAAAAAGTTGCTTGAGAGATGAAGCAGTTCCAAACATGGGTCAAGTGCACAAGATGAATTGCTGTGTCAGGATAACCACGCTCTGTACTCAACAAAGTAAAATGTATTAAATGCCACTGGCATGTAAGGGAAGCCATGGCTATTACTCAGTTGTGGTGCTGCCATCTAGAAAAGTGTAGTGTGTGGCCCTCCCTAAAACTCCCATCATGTTTCTTGGGATAAATGTGGCTGGAATACAAGGCCAAGGAGACATCCATTGGAATAACAGCCAATACTCAGACCAAACAAAAAGGAAGTCTGTTTATTTTTATAACAGATTTAATAAAAATGTAGTATAAGTTAGTGCTTATACTCTGCTAGGACCAGCAGATGTCAGTACAACTCAAAGCAACTTTGGATTTTGGTGATGCAATGTTCATGACACTTACCAGAGAAGAAAATATGCTGAAGAAATAGAAAGATTATACAACTTCACCAAGTAAGTCTTTAGAAATCAACAGTTAACAGTATTCTTGAATAAATGTGACAAATAAAACATGCAGATCTTCTGAGTCTAGCACAGAAATAGGAAATTCATTCAAAATGCAACAAAAATAGCAAGAATAACAATATTACTAAGATTTCACTTGTAAAATCTCTTTTCCACAAACCTTGTTATATCGTAAGAGGTTAATACTCTGAGGACAGATAATGTATCAACTAAAGATAATTTCAATTCGACTGTGGGTTTTTTTGTAACAGTCTAGATACCCTTGGTGTGGGAACAGAAACTCAAATTTATTTCAGCTGCATATAAACCTTCACCTTAAAAACAAGTAAAAAGAGGAAAAGAAAGGGTAGAGGGCTGTTGGACTAGTAGTTCAGTCCAATTACACACTGATAACAAACAGAGCAAAATTATTTTCATCGTGTTATACAGAAACCAACAAAATAATATTAGTTTTGTGCCATAATTAATACTTTAATATATTTTACAATACCTTGGCAGTTTAATTTCAGTATTTTAACAGTGAGGCTTGAATTAATAAGGACAACTTGATCTCAAATCCCAGTAGCCTGCATGAGATCTGAACACTTAAATGCTTTTGAATCCTTTCCAAGTGGACAGGATTGGATTAATCAGATTAATCAGATACTCTATAGTAAAGATGCAGCATTCACTATTAATACTGGAGAGAGCTTTATTAATACTGTATGTAAAGTAATTGAGAAATTTCAGTATTTCACATAAAACAGATAAAACCCATGAGATCCTGATCTGGAGAAGGAAAAAATGAGGGATACATGGAGATGGTACATTTCATGAAACAACAGTGAGTGGCTCAGGATAGATCACATTAAGATTTAGCACCTTGTGTTTAAATACAGTGATTGTTCAGCAGAATCCTACCTGGATGACTAAAAAGCCTGAATGCAATGCAGAATGAAGTGTGAAGAGAGAGCAGCACAATTATCTCCATAATCATACGGAAAATGATTGTGAAAGTGAGTACATTAATCTTGTGGATTGTCACAAATTCCAACGGCTTTCATTAAATTACCAAATGATGAATGTGCCGTGTTTAACCAAAGCATGGAATACATACTCAGGATTAAATAATGCACACATGCACTAACCAACATGCTTATTTCTGATTATTTCCCCTCCTTCTATCTCGATTTGCTCGTAGAGCCACTTGCGGTCACAGCGACATTCCGCCCCACACTTGTTGGAGCCGCACTTGGGACAAGTATAGAAACACCCCAGGCAATCTTCGTCCAGGCAGTCGCAGAGGTCCATCCCACTGTAAAGCAGCAGCCCCTGGCTGTCATAGACTTTGCTCTTGGCTGGTATAACTTGCCTGGATAACGAAAAACAACAGTTATTTCCGTGTCAAAATTCACTTATTTTGAGGCCAAGCTGCTAAATTTGTGGAGGGGAGTTTGCTTTCTTCAGGTGTTTGTTTCAGTACTGTTAATTTAACAGACATACCTATCCTACTGTATTTGACAACATTTCTCAGCCCTAATTGTATTCCCACTGTGTGCCCAAACTAAGCAGAAGCAACAAATGGAGAGGAGAACGATGTGCAGCTGGCGAGCAGCACATCCAGCGTCTGTCTTGTGAGTTTAAACTTGGGTGGAGAACAGGGGCAAGGCATTAATGTGATAATTACTGCATGCTTTAACAAATATTGTACGACTATTTAAAGCTGAAACTTCTACCATTCTTCTATTAGTACAAGACTGGTCCAAAGTTTTAGTGGAAAATAACAAAGTTCAACTTTCCTCTTTAGAAAAATGTGATTTTTTTTTTTAAATCAATCACATTAGAAGGTTATAACTTAATCTAGTACTGTCCAACATGGATGCTAACTTTGTTCTTTAAAAGGAAGGCAAGGTCCTAACCTGCACACTTCTGTTTACCAAGTGTAGTTACTGAGCTTACTGAAAGATAACTCCAATATTTTAAGTGCAGTCTAACATATTCAAATTTAGCCTATCATCAGAATTTTAGCTTATGCATAAATTAATAGCTACATCTATGATCTGTGTAGTATTTTCATGCCTCACAAACACTTGTTTATATTCTAATTGCCTGAAATATTGCTTGTATGCCAACCTTTTATCTTCTGGTTTGTTTATCTCAAGAATGAGAGTGAGCTTTAGCAACCCATAAACACACAAAGACCCACAAAGGTAATGTTGAATGCTACAGAGACACTGACCATAGAGGATACTTTATTCTGAAATGAAAGATAATGTAAATACAGCAAACAGATTACCTGTCTGAATTAAATGCTGCAATTTTTGATTGCAGCCTTCTTTTTTCCCTCTTACTGGTCTCAGGAGTGAACTCTGTCTGTCGCCCTGGATTAGCAAACTGCAGAGACTTTAAAGCCTTGGCTGTACGTCCCTGAGGAAAGACAGAAAATGGCCTTTAATTATAAATACAAATCTACATTCTTAAGAAAATGTCCAGTCAAGCCATGATATTGTAATAACCCAGGTGAATTCTTGACCTAGGACTCTTAAGTCTTAAAATATTTATGCTAGAGAACTATACCAGTCTCAGAACTCAGCAATACAAGCTTTGTAGTAGCAGTTCTAATCAATGCTTTCAAATTTCACTCCTATCAGCCTCCTAATCATACTGACACGTAACTGAAAAATACAGTTGTGCAATAGTTCCTACAGTGCAGTTCTGCTCTGCTCAGGGCATGTGTGGAGGAGCTCTTTGGTTTGGTTACCCCTGCTACTGATGATCTGTGTACAGCAATGCACCAGCTGTATTCTGTGCTCAGCACTATCCTCCCACACCAGTTCATTACTGCCCCTGACCAAACACCGTGGCCTTCACAGCCCAGACACCACAACCAGAGTACATTTAATTCACCTCAATGCAGGTTCATTTGGTAATGAACCGCTAGAAAAAATTGCCTTTTTTTTTTTTTTTTTTTAACTGAAGAGACATCCCTAGAAACAACTTTTGCAGTGTTCAGTTTGTTGTTTGCAAGACTTGAAGAACAGCTTAAAATACCAGCAGCAGTCTGGTATTTACATGAACTTATGAGTTGTACGTCACCCTAGTAGACAAAATTTTTCAGATTTTTAAAGGCCATAATATTTAATTAGAGAAGAGGACTTTTAAGGTCCTCCAAATAAAGGTTTAAATACAGTAAACTCCCCCATATCTAAAAGGCTAAATCCTTTCTTATTTCTATCATAAAAAAATTAATTTTTTAATGTAGTAGTTGTACAAAGCCCAATTCCAACAGCTTGCAGGACTTAGGGGGGGGATGGGAAAACTGATCCATATACGTACGTCCGGATCAAGTTTTCTTCTTTGTCGCTCTTCGGGTTCAACGTCCACACTTCCATTTATTATCTGCATACATTTGGGACACAGCTTCCAACCAGGTACAAACTGCCTCCCAAACTTGGCACTGAGAAAAGCTGCATCATCCATATCGATGGCTCGTAAGTTTTTCTTGGACAGTTTTCTGTGTATGTTGAAGGGGTCACAACATGATTTCTGTAAGTCTTCGAATCTCTCAATGTAAATTTTCGCGTGGTGGAAGCAGATCGTGTTGTTCTCTGAAAGGGTTATTCCAGTCCTGAGCTGAAGCAACAGCAGGTCAGACGAAGATACATCTTGTTTAGTCTTGAAGCCAGTGTGACGGGTGTAATAGGTCTTATGGCACTCATTGGTAGCTTGAAGCTGAACTCCAACTGAACAAGGATCCATTTTACTTTATCAGAACAACTTATTGCACTTATTTTGAGTTCTTTAGGAGTTTCTATGAAGATCACCCTAGAGGAAGAATTACAATCAATTAGATTTGCACTGCAAACTTTTATCCATAAGCTTGACATATAGGGTTTAAGTAATTTAACAAACATGTAAAGAAATTATAGCCTCCTAGTCTAGATAAGCTTAAAAAGACATTAAATTTATTCTGGAATTAAACCATGCATCTCATCTTCCTTTTAGAGGCACTTTTCCCCAGCTAAAATAAGCATCTATTCAAAATGTTTAGCAGCATTACTTTCACAAAAACAATTTGGGAGCAAGGTATGAGCAGCCTGCTCTGGTCAGGGCCCCCTCTCTTGGCACAATCCCTGCTAGTCTAGACCAGTTGTTCAGACTGCCCACAGGAAAAGACTGCTGATGGCTAAACAACTCACCTATCTTGTTTCCAGGTAGTTTCTAAGGGGGGAAAAAAGGCTGCTGAAGGTAGGCTGCACAGGCTGGTTGATGTCAGTCAGCAATTCCCATCCTGCAGCACTCTCTTATGTGTTCTTCCCCTGTGTACCAGGTGCAAGTCAACACACTGAATCAGCCTGAGCCTCTTCAAGAACCAGTCTGGGGTGTGCACAAAGATTGGTGGTTCTAGATGTGTGCAGTTTTTGTGGCCATTGTGTGCAGCTCCCTGCAGCTGCGTGCTGTGTGTGTCTGATGTAAATACTGGGCAGTTATTTAAACACTAATTCAGGCACAAAAAAAGAAGTGAGCTGTTGCAGACTGGTCTCACACCCAGGCCAAAGTCTGTTGCTAATCCAATACCAGCCCTAACACATAAGAGCCTGAGCCCACCTTACATTCTTTTCTACTGCAACATAAAGAACAAATTTCTACCAAAAGAAAGGAATCATGTGCTCTCAAATCCTCCAGGAACCCTAAGTACAATGAGTTCAGCCTAACTGGGATGTTCATGTTTACCCACACACTACTCTGCAAAAGGGAAAAACCAGACAAACAAAAAAGCAATGTACTGGGTTTGTCTGGGATAGAGTGTAATTCTTCACAGTATATAGTATGGGGCTGTGTTTTGGATTTGTGACCACAACAGTGCTGATAACCTGGTGATATTTTAGCTAATGCTGAGCAGTGCTTACAGTGTCACTGCCTTTTCTGCCTCCCACCCCACCAGTGAGGGGATGGCAGGGGGCACAAGAAGTTGGGAGGGACCAGAACCAGGACAGCTGATCCCAAGTGACGTTCCAGACCACATGGCCTTGTGCTCTGCAGTGAAGTGGAGGCTGGTGGGGAGGGGTCACTGCTCTGGGAATGGCTGAGCATTGCTCAACTGGAGGTGAGCAATTGTTTCCACTTGCATTGCTCGGTTTTTCTTGGGTTTTACTTTCTGCTCTCTTTTGGTTTTCCTTTTATTTCCCTTAAAACATTTTTTTAAAAAATTTCTTTTAATTATTGAGCTGTTTTTATGTCAACCCACAACTTTCTCACTTTTACCCTTCTGATCCTCCCCCTGCTGTGGGGGAGTGTGGTGTTTAGTTGCCAGCTGGGGTTAAACCACAACACACACATTTGTTCTAACCACTGAACAGGGTAATATGGCCTTTTAATCAAGCAAAGTATCAGCCAGTTGTCTAATGGACAAGAGTCCTGGGATGCTACTTTCAATAAAATGAAAGCAAATAGCATCAGGCACAATCTAATGACATGAAATGTGTAAGTTTAGCCAATACACAGAAACATGAACACAGCAGTGCAAGAGTTTGAAAGAGAACAGTAAATTCATAGGATTTTTAAAATTAATCTGAGAAGCCACTGGTTTTCGGAGCAGAAATCCACTTTGGATTTTAATACTTAATTTTTTTTCAAACAGATGTGTATGTCTGAAGAAATCACACAACACATTTCTATACATTAAACGGCATGGGCAGTAATTTAAAGGTCTTGTATAGGACATGGTATTGTCTACTGATTTAGCTGATGCAAATATAAATGATATGCTGGGTTCTACTCAGGCTAGTAAACTTGTCTTGAAGTGTAATTTTATATCTAATTTGAGACAGATCTGAGTATAACCAAGCAATTATTTTTAAAGAAAAGTTTTCTCAGCCCATTGTTAAGAATGCTCCAGCTTTCACATTTAAATTAAAGCAGTGATAACAGAGGCACAAGGAGCTCCAAGTGTAGAGGCACATTGTTATAAACCTGTGAGTCTGCAGAAAAGGGAGTGTTTCATTCTGAAAACAATGAAAACTTGGTTCTGGTTTTTTTTTGCAAGTGACCTGAAAATACAAAGACTTAAGTATTCTAATACCTAACGCAAATTTCTCAGGTCAAAACCTAAATCTTTTATTTTCAGAGCTAGAACTAATCCAGTCCTAAATTACCAGGCTATCTGAGCATTTCTTCACTCCAATTTCTGTATGCTGAGCTAACTCCTGAAGTTTCGAGCTTTTCAGATCTGCACTGACTAATCCAAATAAGAAGTAAAGAGTAGATGTCAATCAAATTAGAAAAATTCTTATTTTCAGTGTCTGCTGAGCACTGACTAAGTTTTACTACATAAAAGTTCCAGTGCCCTTGCCTATTTATACACTTTTACTGCAGCACTGACTTTGTATGATATTTTTTTAAAATCTTTTTTAAAAGACCAGCTATCAAACTTACAGGGTATGCACCGATCTTACCTCAGGTGCTAACATGTACTTTGGACTGATTCCCGCCGTGCGAGGCGGGGTTTGCGTGCGTGGCTGAAACACACGAGGCCAATACAGAAGTGACGACCTGAATTTCAAAATTCCCGGATGTATTACAACTCAGAACTTTTGGAAGACGTCCTTATTAAGGAACCCAACTAGTCTCCTAAGGAAAAATCCCCCCCAAACATAGCTATTGCAATGCTACCCTGGGCAGGTATCTGCCGTGGCAGCTGACTGCACTGCGTGACAAGCCCTGTACTGAACTGAGGGAGGGCACACCGGGGCACATCGGTTTGCTCGAATGACACCGTGCTGGGGGATGCAAAGTTACGTCTCTCATCCACTTCACCCGCAGGAATTCCTGGTGGAAGCCTCACCGCATTTCCCCGCCCTTGGGAGGGGCACGCAGCTGCTGCTCCTTGGTGGAAACAGGAAGGAGCTTAAAGCAAAACAAAACAAACAAACAAACCAACAAACAAACAAACCCGACCCACACTGCTAAGACGAAGGTTTGCGTTCGCACCTGTGGAGCCGATGATCGGCGCTCACGGCACCGAACGCGGCCGCCTGAGGCAGAGGGCTCGGGGCGGGCCGGCGGAGCGGAGCGCCCGCGCTCGGCAGGGATCCAGCACGGGCCTCCCGGGTTCCTGCTGCCGGCGGAAACGTGGGATGGGGAGAAAAGGGGGGTTACACGGGCCGTACGAGCAGCCCCAGGGAAAGCGGGGCCCGGCCGCCCCGCGGGGCCTCGCACGGCACCGCCCGGCCCGGCCCTCCCGCTGCTCCCCCGGGCGGCCCCGGTACCTGTCCGTGGGTCCGGTCCCGCCGTCCCGCTCCCCGTCCCCGGGCTCCCTGCCCCGCTGGCGGCGGCGGCGACCATGAACCGCCCTCCCTCAGCATGGCGGCGCTTCCGGGCGGGCGGCGGCGGCAGCGGCCCCTGGCGGGGCGGAGGAGAGGCGGGAGTGAGGGCGGTGGAGTGGGAATGATGCGTGCCCTCCTCGGGAATGAGCTCTGCCTTCTTCTGGAGTGACCTCTGCCTTCCCCGGGAATGACCCGTGCCCTCCCCGGGAATGACCCGTGCCCTCCCCGGGAATGACCTCTGCCTTCCCCGGGAGCGACCTCTGCCTTCCCCGGGAGTGACCTGTGCCTTCCCCGGGAATGACCCGTGCCCTCCCCGGGAATGACCTCTGCCTTCCCCGGGAGTGACCCGTGCCCTCCCCGGGAA